CGAGGCTCTGGGAAAGCTGTGATAATGATCTGCGCCTGTCTGTGAGTCAGTGGACTCGCAGGTTGCATCACAGCCAGCAGTTAGCAGAGGAGAGTTGGTAGCACTGTCAGCTTTGTGTTGGGTGGGGGGGCAGGTTTTCCTGGAACACTGAAAACTCTTGTCAGTCTGTCCACAGGGGACTYGTCTCTGCACCACCACTAGTTTTTAATTTCATTTCTGGAGCAGACAGCCAGAGCGAGGCCGTCATTCATCATTTATCTATCATCCTGATTCATATTTTATCCTGAAGCAAAGAGCTGAACCTGCAGCCGTCACATAGTAGCAGCTAATGCWCGGACAGTTTCCCTCCATGCATTAAAAAATAGAAATGTTAGTTTGCTTCCTGTAAACCTTGAGTTTAAAAACAACATTTAAGAGTTTTTCACCTGTGTGCACTAAAATCCAATATCCCTGTGTGAGTCTTCATCTGAATCAGTGAAATAAAACCTTCTTGTTTCGCCTGCAGCAGACTCTGAACGGTTTCACGGCGAAGCGTGATAAAAATCAACGTTCCCTGGAATTAATTTCTTGTGAGCTGTGGTCCCTGGAAGACCTGCAGTCTGATCCGGAGCGCAGACTTTCAGACATTCATTTCAGCTTCAGTGTAAACAACGTTAGAGTTTCTTTTACCGGAGCTCACTTAACGGAACTATTCCTCGCTCCTGTTGTGTAATCTCACTTCCTGGTTTCTGGTTCTGATTCGSCTGAGTCAGCATTCACACCTGTTTAGAGGTTTTGCACATTCGCTTCAGTCATTCAAACATTTAAACACTGAGCTCATTTCTGGGTTTTAGAAATGCAATGAGATCTTTAAAAATCCTTGAAAAACGTCATGTTTTTTATTTTTCACAGAAAATACTTGTTTTCCTATTTTCTTTGTCATTTGAAATGTCAGCTCTTGTTTCTCATGAAACCTTGCAGTTGTGGAGAAACAACTTTCTGCTTTTCTGTTACATTTTTGAACTGTTCAAGGTTGTGTTTATGTGATGATATTTATTATGAATATGCATCAGATATTCCTGCATCTAAACAAGTCATTGAGTGATTAAGTGAGTAAGTAAATAAGTACGTAAGTGAATAAGTAAGTTAGTGAGTAAGTAAGTGGGTAAGAAAGGGAGTGATTAAATGAGTTATTACGTAAATAAATAAGTAAATAAGCAAGTAAATGAGTAAGAAAGTGAGTTAGTTAGTGAATAAATAAGTAAGTAAATGAGTAAGTGAGTAATTAAACGAATGAGTAATTAAGTGAGTAAGTGAATAAGTAAGTTAGTAAGAAAGTGAGTGATTAAATGAGTAAGTAAATGAATAAGTGAATAATTAAGTGAGTGATTCAATGAGGTAGTGAGTGAGTAAATAAGTGAATAAGTGAGTAAATGTGCAAGTAAATAATTTAGTGAGTGATTAAGTGAGAGTTAGTAAGTGAATAAATAAGTAAGTAATTGAGTAAGTAAGTGAGTGATTACAAAGTGCTTCACAAAGAGGAAAAAATAAACTAAAAGCACTTAACTAAAATCCTGTCTGAATAAAATTGAATTAAGATGTTTCTTAAAGAGTCAGTGGAATCTGAGCAGCGCAGGGACAGAGGGCGAGTGTCAACATTTGGTCAAGTGTTCAGTCTTCAGTCTGGTCAAACCATAAAAAAAATATATTTAATAATTCTCCCTCCTGGCTGCAGATCTGCTGCCTCTCCTGGCTGCAGCTGCAGCTGCTCGGTCCCACGCTTGATTTATTGAAAGGAGTGGGAAACTATGAAGCTTACTTTGTGACAGCTCAGAAGCTTTAAAATTTCAGATGTCATTGAAGTGATGAATGGAGAGAGGAGAGGCTGGGGCTGCCTGCTGGAGCCATATGTCACTGTCCAAAGCCATGAGGGACCCTGCCTGTCAGCCTGTTACACCAACACCAGCACCCCGGTGACTAATCTCAGCAGGAATCAGAAATCACATTCCTGTGAAACAGGTGCCTTCAGGTGTTACCTGCTCCCCTCTCTGTAAATGTACTGAAAGGGACAGGAACTGGATGGACAAACTGGTACGGAGGTCAAGCTCTGTCCTTTGGAGCCTGTGGTAGTGGTGGGTGAGAGGAGGATGTTGGCAAAGCTGACAGCCATCATGGAC